CTTATCCTTCTAGCAGAGTGAGCTCTCCCTCTGGATTCCTAAAATACTTGTCATTTCTTCTACTTTGAAAAAATTGTCGCTTAGGTTTACATCTCCCAATCTAAATTATAAGCCTTTCAAAAACCAAGGGCCAAATCTGTTTCATTTTATATCCTTATGATCCCTAGTACAGAGGCAAACTCGCAAAAGAGACTTGATAAATATTTACGAAATTCAGTAACCAAATACTAATAAAAGTAAAATGTAGTAACAGAAGAAGGTCAAATAAAGTGCTAAGGGAGCCCAGTGGAGGAAGAGGTTATTTTAGCTGACTTTGCATTTGAAGAAAGCACTTAACGATATAAGAACTTTGTTGGGCAGAGAGATGATGGAAATCAGTAATCTAGACCAAAAGAGCAATGTGAATAAAGGATGGAGAAGGAAAAGCAGAGATTTAAGAACTATTTACGTGGCTGAAATTTAGGAGATGCAAAAGGTTATTAGGACAGAAAAGGTCAAATTAAGGGAGTCTTGAAGGAACTCCTAAGGAATCTGGATTTAATCCTAGGGGCCAGGGAAAGCCATGGGAGGTTTGAGCAGGGCAATGATATAGTCAGAAGTGTGCTTTAGAAAAACTATTCCATCAGCTGGGCATAAGATGGAACTAGGGATAGGAGACCAATAAAGATTTTTACAACAGTTAAGAAAAGAGCAACAGGGTCTTAAACTCTGATGGGGCAGTGGAAATGTCAAGGTGAAAGAATGGAAAGAAACAGTGGAAAGAAAACTGCAGTGGGGCAGTGGAGGGACAGGTTCTCAACCTGGACTCCACGGAGAATTCAAGGGGTCCACGAGCCAGATGGAGAAGTAGAACATCTTTATTTTCACTAACTTCTAAGTGAACTGTACCATAACTGAACAGTTATGAATATGGGCAACAAACCATAACAGCATTAAGCTTCATCAGATTGGCAAAGGGGTCTAAGACATAAAAAACCAAACAAACAAAAACCTTCTGCACTCTAATATAACAGTTTGGTAGAGCCTTTATCAGAAATAAAGATTAGAAAAGGAAATTTTAAATACATACATTTTTTTTTTTAAAAGAGCCATGTGGGGACTGAGAGAAGGAAGAACAAAGATGGATACAATTATCACTTTGACTGGATATGCTGAATTTCAGGTGTCAGCCCATACTTATCTTATACAAGGACATCTATTTTCTTGTTGTGCCAGGTAACCTCCAGCTGCAGTGAACCCTACTCACCTCTACACAGTAAGAATCTTCATTTGCCATTCTGTTCATCCTCCCATCTTGTGGCACTGAAAACAGTCCAAGGGTGAACAACTGTTCCATTGCCTGGGACAGAAGGGCTTTCTAGGACATGGGCCTTTGAGTCCTAAAACCAGGAAAATCCAAGGCAAATTGTGGTGAGCTAGTGACCCTAAAAGACACCAAATGTGGCAATATTTTCTAATAAAACTATATTAATATTATGCTTAAATTAAAAAAAAAAACTATGCCATTTAAGATTTATTTTGGATAAAAAAAATCTGAGTTTGTCCATCTCTTCTGCCCATAAAGTAAAAAATCTTGAAGGAAAATCTTCCTCTCACAAGGTCAGACAATTATGGGTACTCCATAAACGCTTTAGTAACCAAGTATCATTATGTCAGTAGTTGGCACATTCACAGCTCATATAATCTTCACAAGAACTCTGTGAGCTAGATTTGATTCTCTTCATACTAGAGAAAAAACACAGGCTCTAGAAAATTTAGTCCTTTGCTCTATCTACCTCACAGAGCAACCAAAGTGGCCGGCTCCTAGAACTGCAGCTGCCAAAGAACACTGAATTACTGTGTTTTCCACAGAAGCACAAGTGGTTGTTGCTATATGGAGATTATGCAAAAACTGCATTTTTTTTCTTTTGCAAAGTCCATGAACTCAGTGCTCCGACATTATGTTGAGACACAGTAAAATGGAGTGTTAGTTTTAGGCTGAAGGCACCCTAAGATAAAGTGCTGGTTTACCTATGGAAAAAGGCAGAAATCAATAATATTCAAAACTGGTAAGATTAGGTAAGAGTAGCAATAACTTACAAATCTAAAAGGAAGGCAAATGGTACAAAGACTATAATACTCTTATACCCAGCATCTAATCAGAAAATCTACACAAGGGAGCGCCTGTATTAGTCAATACCGAAATCGACACGCCCACGTGTGCCTGATTTGACCGATACAAAAATCTTGGACAGCGATGAGCAAAGTGAAAGCCAGGATGCATAAAGATAGTCAATCCCTACCAAGGCTTCATAAATCAGAGAGGCCTGGCCTTGCTGCGTTTATCTGCTCTGCAATTCACCAATTACATCTCCCTGTAGCCATGGCAACACTCGCACTAAGGTAGCGCCAGAATTCACCTTTGGATAGCCACAGTCCAGCGAATTTGCACCTACACAGCTCAGATAAAATCAACAAAGACATCGCCTCCCGCCAAACCAAGGCAACCATGGCTTTTCCCGTTTCCCCATCTGTAAATCATCCAGGGAACATATTTTTTAATTCTTTGCACCCTTCTTCCCTATAGGGAGGGTGAATCCTAAACGGTGACCACTTTTGATACAGTTAAAGATAAGGTTTTTTCTTTTTTCTGGGGGTGGACATCAGAAACGAATGAAAACCGGATGCACACACAAACATCACAGTTGCCTAAAAAGGCAAGTGAACTGATATGATCAAAAAGTTTTTCAGCCAACATCTCGTAGCATGTCTGTCAGGCAAGCTCAGTTTTGCCCCTGCAGGCCACTGTTTCTGGAGGCGAGAAAGTTTCCAAGACGGCTGTTTGCTTTTCAGTTCTAACAAACGAAAAACGCATTCCGTGCGGGTGGGACCGCGCACAGCGAGAGCAAAAACCATGACGTATTCGCAGGAGCTTTCCAGAATAGCTTTCCAGCTCGAGCAAGATGCCCAGGAAGCAAATCTCACTTTTGCTTCTAAAAATTTAAAGTCAAATCGCTCTCCCTGCGCACGCCGAGAGAACGCAAAGCAAGCGGTTTTATTGAAGCGGCAGCTAAAACTCTTGTCAGACCCCCTCCTTCCGGGGTGGCCACTCTGCCCTGCTCCAGCCCTCGAATTCAACCCCCACATCCCTAGGACCTGAGCAAAAACAAAACAAACCACCGCAAAGTAAAAAAGGGAATAGAAACCCCAAACAAAACTGTCGCACAGCCTTTTTCTACGGGTCAAGAGCGCCGAGAAAAGCCCCCTTAGGCGTCCGGGGCTGTCCGTGCTGCCACTAGTAAAGATGGCGGCCACAGGAGGAGCCGCTCCCTCCGAAGTCCCGGGGCTGCTTCGCCAGCCACGACCACTCACGCGGAGCCCTCCACGCCAGCCCCGGCTTGACGCATTGCAGGTGCGGAGCGACCAATCAGGAGGCTCGACTCTTTCCGGCCAACCACTGCAGGGGCGCACTGGCCTATCAGAGCGCCCTTGTCAAACTGAACGGGGAAAGTAACCTCAGCAGCGCCAACTAAGCAGCCGGTTACAGAGCGCGTTTTGGGGCGTGTGCCGCGAGAGCTGCCGTGTGCTCCTCCGCCGGGAGATATAGTGCCCTCGCCCGCGCCGCGCCCCGCCGCCCCGCGCGCGCTTGGGAAGCTTAGGCGCGAGGCTCGCTCCTTCTCTCCCACTCCCAGACACTCAGGACAAATGGTTACCTTAAAAACTATCCAAAGTCCCTCTGCCGTGGCACGTGGCCGCCCGAGGCGCTGTCTCAGAACACCCTCGCCCTTCCCCCCTTGCTTAATGAGGGCTCGCTGGTTGCTGTTCCTACGGCATGTTTCGTTAAAATAGTTGCCGCCGGGGAAATAAAACCTCCCCTTAACTCGAAACCCCGACTCGAACTGCCACCGAGCTGACCCTTCCTGTTTATGAGCGAGGCCCAGCCGCCTGAGGAGCACCCTTGTGGGTGCTTTTTGTTTCAGAGGAGCCCATTTCCATTTCTCTCTTGTGGTTTTCCTTATCTCCTCGCTGGGCTGCGGTTTTCAGCTCAGTGTGAGCAGAAGAGGGCCAAAGGGGACCACGGGACGGGCGGAGGAGTGTAGCTCAGCAGGCAGTGGCCTGAGAGCTGCTGGTTAGCCTCTGGTTAGCTCCTTGGTAGACCGAGCGGAAGCTTCTCTTGTCTTCCCGCATGGAAAGCCTCTTGTCACTTCTTTGAGGAAAGGCCCGTCCAGTTAGAGGTTCAGTGAAATAACTTCTTAAATGGGCCACATTTGGTACCATCGTCTGTCCAGTGCTAGAAGGTATCACTAAGCCCTCTTTGTACAGTGAAAAACCTGAGGCCCAGGGAAGTCAATCAACACACCTACAGCCACAAAACCATTCAGTAGCAGAGCACGGAGTAGAATCTAAGTTGTCTGTCTCTCAGGCTTGTGTGTTTCTAATTAGTAATACCCGATTCTAGAGCTGACGCTAATTGTGAGATGGTCAAGCATTTGGGGAACTTTATTGAATAACTGAAGAAAGGTGTAGGAACTAAGGGAATAGTGTTCTCTAAACATACTTTTTCAGTCTAAGGCTATGCCACCCTGAACGTGCCGAATCTCTTCTGATCTTGGAAGCTTAAGCAGGGTGGAGCCTGGTTAGTACTTGAATGGGAGGCCACCTAGGAATACCAGGTGCTGTAAGCATTAAAAAAAAAATAAACATAATTTTCCATCAGTATCCTAAGGAGAAAGTAGCAGAGAAGAAATGTTATTTGGTTATTCTCAGTACTATAAGAATCTAAGAAATTTAATTAAGAGAGTTAAATCTTGTGGATTTCCTAGAACACCATTTCAGTTAGCATCCTCTGTGATTTTGGCACAATAGGGCTTGGACGATCTAATGAGTTTTGTGATTAAACTATATTCGCATCCTGTTTCTAAGATTATGCTATTAATGGTCTTTCCCAAGGTTTTGCAACCAGTAGTGGTGACTGCACCGTACTCATGTAAAGATTGTTCTTTGATCTAAGGCTATAGTTGCTAGTTGCCATTTATTGCCTCTTCTTAAACTTTTACTCAAAGCCTTCATTCAAAAGCTGTGGTTTTCTTTCTGTAGGCGGCTAGTAGTTGTACCCAAAGATGTTTGCCAAAGTGAGCAAATATCTGAACTTCAAAATGAGTATCTCACCATAAAAATACCTGCCCAAAGAAACAATACATCATATTTCTTTTGCCATGTATATATGTAGGGAATATGTATCATGACTTTGTATCAAGCCAGATGGTAATGTGAGAAAGGTCTGACTATGCCACTAACAAATCGGGAATTCTTGACTAAGTCTCTGTTCTCAGAACCTCAATTTTATTCTGTTGAATGAAAGGATTGGATTAGATGATTTCTAGACTTCTTTCCAGCTCTAATATTTGATTCTGCTATAAAAAATTTGGACTATAAATTATGTCATTATATTCAGGCTCACCTGCTTCTGCTTTTCAATTCACTTTTATATTTATTTTCATGTTCAATATTCACAAAACTTCTGAAGGGAGAGTCCTCATTACAAAGAAGGTTTACTATAAAGTTTGTCTCCAGTTTATCTCAAATGTGAATCAGTGTGCCACAAAATATTCCTCTAGGCTTATTACTTCAGTCTTCTTACATACCCACCTTGCTGCTTTTGGGCATCAGCAAATTAGTTCATTAAATTGTGAGCTCCTTAAGGGCAGGGCTATCCAATTCATCCTTATATTCTCAGTGCTTAGTGAATTTCATTTTACATTCCAGGAACTCAGTAAGCGTTTATTGAAGGAATGAATGAACAGTAATTAGGACAGTGGTAGAAGAATTGAATATGAAAGGGTCTTCTGAGTTCCAAGAAAATCAATCAATACTTATTGAGAGTCTACAATGTAGAAGGTACAGGTTTGGTTTTTTTTCCAGTACCACAATTTTTTTTCTCTATTTGAGCTGTCTCCACTTTTTACTTTTAAATTTAAGAAATATCATCATTATGAGTGTTGTGACCGAAATAACCAGGCCCAACTCGAGTGCTCTAATCCAAGAGACAGTTTATTAGCCGGCGGCTGTCCTTGCCAAGGAGCAGCCCCGAGGCGCAGGGGCACAAAGGTTTTAAGCCCTCGATTCCATCCCCCACATCCTTAATTTTTTTTCCAGCCACAATTTTTTTTCTCTATTTGAGCTGTCTCCACTTTTTACTTTTAAATTAAAGAAATATCATCATTATGAGATATTAAGAATGTCTTCATCAATAACAGGGCTTATCTCCAAGCTTTCTTTGTGTATATTCTGTTACATTCTTTGAGGAATACAAAGATTTAAAAGAAAATAATAAAAAAAAAAAAAAAAAAACCCTGACTCATTCAACCAAAATTGCTCACTTTCCCTTTCTATTGTTGCTTTTCTGTAAAGAGATAATGTCCTGTGCCCAGCTTTTGATATTTTTTAGTGATTTTTCAAAATAAATTTCAGGATTGATCAGTCAGTTTGAGTAGGCATGGCCTAGTCTATTCTAAGCATTTTAATCGAGTATCATTCAACAAAGTAGGAATTCTATAACGATCTTAATTGTTACCATTTATAAAAAGATGTAACTCATGAGTCAAGTCCCCTAAGACCATAGCTCTATTTATATCCACATTTCCAAGGGTCTCCTAGTTACTAGGGAATTCTGTACAAGTTCCTCACAAAATTCACAAGCAAAATGTTTAGAACCATAACATTTTAAATCTGAGAGGAACCAGAGAAAGTCCACCTGGTCCATCTTTTCCATTTTTCAGATAAATTCTGAGAAGTGACTAGATAGGGACAAAGCGGCGTTAGAATTATGCCAGATCGTTCTTTCCTTTGACCTTTGAAAACATTTTAATCAAAGATTAATCGTAATAAGGGAAGCAGAGGAAAGTTCTCATCCACAAGGCCTCCAAGTGACTGGAAAATCTTAAGATGACTTTGCTTTGGACTTTGTTATTCCATTTAGGGTTTGGCTGTGTTGAATTGTTCTCTGTGCTAGGCCTTATCTATACAGCTTGTTTAAAATCTTTGACCTTCATTTAAAATGCTGACACTTTCCTGTTGTTAACTTATCACATTTCTTTACTTATGTCTTCTTTAGTCTAGCAGTGTTTCCTTTTCTTATTCCCAAAAGCTGTTTTGAGATGGATAACAAACTAATGAAAAGGAATGTAGCTATACAACTGTAATTCTTTTATTGCATTCCAAAGTATTTGTTAGGGTATTGCAAAGTGCTAATGAAGAATAATCAAGGTTATATCTTCATTTCTCATTATGCAACATTTAGTCTGGTTTCTAAAAAATTTGGTTCTCTTCTTCAGCTGATTGACATAGGTATGCATTGGACTTGTTTAGAGATGGTGTTCTTTCACAAAAAGAAAATCAACATTATTCCATGGCTCCAGCAGCAATTAACGCCCTTACCTAGCTGGCAAAATGCCACAAGCAAAATCCATTTAGAAAATAAGGATGGTTGGTGGGAGCCTGTGGTATCACCATACAAAATACAGGCTGAAGTATATGCTCCAACCTCAAAGTATCCCAAAATACGAAGTTCCCACAAATACTAAGTGCTGATTAGCTCACATCAGTTCTCCATCTTTCTTTAGGATTTGAAAATCAGAAATGCCTTTATTAGAATCACTGGGTCAGTAGGCCATTTAAAATATGCCTTATGTATTTAGCTGGTATTCAGTTTTGAGGTCATTCCCTAGGTTTCCAACTTTGTGTGAAACAGGTGTAACTATGACAGTGTTGCAGAGAAGAGCTAGAGCAGTGAAACATGAAACTATACATCAGTTCTCTGAGTCACAAATCTCAGGCTGCTCTAGAAGAGGGTGATGACTCAGCAGCATTCCATTGGAGTGGTGAAGGGAATGAGGCTGCGGAAGGCTTTTTGCCAGGGCACCAGCCTGTTTGGGGTGCTGAATGATGGAAGACCATCTCGGATCTTCCCACTGCCCAGACATTAGGTTACTGCCTCAGATTCTTCAACTGGTTCTAAACTGACATCTGATCTGACCTTTGCCAATTTAGCCGACTTTTATTTTAAATATTATAAACAGCCACATCTTATATTTGTCTGTTTTCAAAGCAATAAAAATAACAAAACTTTGAGTAACCTTTCACTGAAGTAAGACAAAATTTCTGTCTATCCCTTGGTTTATGGAGGAGACTGTGAGAAGAAAGGGGGTACACCAATACTCAGTTGTACTACTTGAAAACTCTCCTGAAGGCAAGTATTTTCAGTGACCAAATGATCTAATGATTCTGTTGTGATGCCTAGAATTGGTTTATAATCCAATAACTCAGAGTCTCTACTTAGAATGAATAAAACTCAATAAATCATCTTCACTGGACTTATAAAGAGTCCCAGTATTTTCTCCATTACAGGAAGCAGGGAATGGATCCAGTTATATGAAGGTGGAGAGAGAATTGCCGAAGAAGGAAGTCTCACTCAGAGTCCTATAGGGTACAGGTAAGGATTGAAAGAGGAGGACAGCGTGTTCCTGAGGAGGTGTGGCCTGCCACCCAATCTGGGAAGACTGACTTTAGGAAGTAGTTCAGCATTAAGGCAAAAGACTTTCTTTTTCTTTTCTCTCTACTTTGGAAAATTCATGTCTAATATCTTATCCAGTCCCAGGAATGAATTGAGCGCAACATTAATCAGTTAAATAATCTTTTGGTATTTATTGACTCAAGTACTATGCTGAGTTCAAAGAGTATAAGATGGTAGCCTCTGCTCCTATCTAGTTGAGAAGGTAAGATACATGAAAAGATAATCTCAGATAAAAATGGATAAGAGATAAAGGAAGTCAGCAGAGAAGAAGTTCATAAGGTGCTACACTAGTCAGGAATGTTCAAAAAATGTGGGATTTAAACTGGGCATGAAGGACTCAGGATTTTTTTATTTTTTTTATTTTTTTTTATTTTTAGGCAAGGCAACCCGTGGTTGACCTTAAAAATTGCAAGGACCTTGTCAGCTTACAGTCCCTTATTTTTATTTTTTAGACCTACAGCACCTAGTCTTCCTAGGTGGTCTCCTACCCAGGTACTAACCAGGCCAATCCTGCTTAGCTTCCGAGATCAGACAGGATCAGGCTTGTTCAGGGTAGCATGGCCATAGACGGGACCCATAGGACAAAGAGAGATGGTGAAGATATAGATAGGCATCTGGACACTGGGAATGACATGGAAAAGGCAATTTGCCTGAAACAGAGAGTTCGTATTTGTGGAATAACAAAAATAATGCTGAAAAAGTAGGTCAACAGACTGTTGAAGGGCTTTGAATGCTAGGCACGGGGACTTAGCATTTTATCTCTTGTAGGCATTGTGGAGCCAGTGAAGGTTTTTGAGCATAGAAGTGACATGATAAAACGAATCTGGTGGCTGTGTATTTGGATAGATCACAAGGGGACAAGCTAACTGGGATGAATAAAGAATCATGGATGTGATATTAAAATTTTAGGGACCCTTAAGATTCTTGTTCCAGGCAAAAATGAATATTTCTT